GCCTTGTGTTAATATTGCACCAAGGCTTTAACAGCGATGGGTAGAACTCCCCATCGCTGTTTGGCATGGTTCTGGAAACTGGTTTGGCTGAGGGGCCGCTTACCCATCGATGGGAAGATCTTCCCATCGCTGGGTGGGTGGTTAGTCAAGAACCCATGGTTTTTGCCTTAACCACGGCCTAGCCAACCGATGCGAAACCCGACCGAAAAATTCAAAGTTCTCCAAAATAAAAAACAAGTGTTTAAAACACTTATTTGATGTATTTGGCTAAGAAATCAAGTAAGACACTTTAAAAACCACATCATTTGAGTGAAAACCACAGCTAGCCAAGTTTATGCCGTTTTGAATGATTTTTGTCAAACGACCAAAAGCGAAAGATGGTTTTCAAAGTGTTTTTGTTGGAGAACCGTTTAAACATGCCAAAGAGTGAAAACCAACCATAAAAAGTTGAAAACCACTTGGTTGGTTCGGACGCCAAAAACCATAGCCGATAACCGAGAGCCGAACGCCGGATGGCTTGGTTTTTGGTTTGGGCGAACACCAAGTGTTTTTAATGACTTAAACATGTTTGAAAAACATTTTTATGATTTAAGAAATGCAATGAGGATTTTAGCCTAAAGAGCCAAGGTGTAAAGATTGGGTCGGTCTTGATCACAATGAAGACCGACTCAACGACACTAAGACTAAGGTCTTCGTTCTTGGTCTTCTTTTAGCTCTTTTTCTTGTCTTCCTTCTTCGCCTTGTATATTCAAAGTTTGACTTGATCACGGCGGTTTGGCATTATCAAAACCTGTCACAAAAACAAACACGGCTTTAGTACGAAAACGTGACATGCCCGTGTTTCAACACATCCATGTATAGTACTCGGTGATAAATACTCCGTATTAAAAAGTAGTCTTATCCTCCAAAAAAACTTCTCATTTCGTGTTACCTTTCTTTATATCCATATTTGTTAGTCATTTAATAAAATAATATAGTCATGTCACATTTTGTTTTGTAGAGTTTTAGATGATATATTTTTAAATTTTTAACTTTTCTCCTTTAATTAAATAAATAAAATTGAAAATATTTTTAATCAAACCTCGTACACAAAAACGGGAAGAATGTTTTAGGACGAAGAAAATATGTAAGTTTTGATTTTTTATTCTTGCACCAATTTTTTTAAATAAAATAATTTTTAAAAATACTCCGTAGTATTTTAGTTCGTTAAGCAAAAAATGTAATATGCTTTGGATGGAGTATTTGTCTGATTTAATATTTACTATTTGATATGAATAAGTTCTATAACTATTACTCCTTAATTAAATAAGTTCTACGTTGGGATTAAATGGGCTTGGGAACAGGATAAATAAGAAATTTAATTTGCTTAGCGATTTTTAACAAGCGATTAATTGGCTCAATAGTGACTTGAAACAATGAGGACAATGTAGCATTCTTGTAATAATAAGATGCAACTAATGGATTGCGAGAGATGTGAGCGTGACTATAATTATACCCTCCATGACCTTAATTGTTTTGTCGACTGGCTCACAAAGGATGCATCGAGTGAAGGTGTGATTGCGTTGAATTTCATACACCCTCTCGGAAGACATTAGAGTCTGAAAATGACTCCATCATGAGAGCTACTCTCAATTGTTGGAGACTTTGGAGCTAGTTTGTTTCAGCTTCCCCCTCCCCCCAAACAAATACTTCCACATGTGACATGTCTACAAACTTTCTTCTTACGGAGTATTTTTTTAAGTATGTGTTGTACCCGAGACCCGGGGTCTTATCGAGTAGCTAATTTGTGGCAGATTTGCGGAAGGAAATGGATGATGGAATTGAAGGGGTGAAGTATGGAGTGTGGGAAAGAGTTCTTTTTGGTGTTTTTAATGAGAGAAAGGAATAAGTTTAGGAAAAAGAAATGGTGAGGAATGAAATGGGTAGAAAAGTGAAGGGATAAACCAAGTTGGTGTTAAGAGATATGACACACTCTTATCTTAACTTGGGGCTTTTATCTTCTTTTACACATTAATAATCACTATTAATGTATAAAATTAGATTCCTAACACGCACTCAAAAGTAGCCAACTTTAGAGATATTTCATTAGGAAATTTGGTTAAAATAGCATCACACTATTTTAAAGAATTACTCAAAGAGTAAAACAAAGGCTTTTAATTCAATAATCTGGTTGTGTTACAATGGCCTCATGGCTGAAGTATTTATACAACAACATATAAGGAAAAATACAATAACGGAAACTTCCTACTTCTTTCCTAAAAATCAAAGATTAATGTCCTTCAATGTGAGCTGATTTTCCAAGATGCTTCTCCTGATTTTGGGCTGATCTTCCTTGGGTTTATTAATGGAGAATTTCGTGCATATAGGGGAGAAAACAAAGGGGGATCAAGCTTTAGACTTTTGTGAATAAAATGCCAAAACAGCACTATTCATTCAATGACTTTGTTTCTGATTTTGTTCCTTTGTTTCAAAAGTGATTATGCTTTTGTTTTATGAAAGAAAAGGCTTTATTCTTTGTTGAAATTCAGGGAATAATTTCAGCCTTGTACCCAAGCTTAGGAAATGCAAACAGGAATTGAACAACTTCGGGACTTCAAAGTTCAGAGATGTAATAATCGATTAGCATCTCTGGATAATCGATTCACAGGATTTGGTTTCAATCCGGAAATGTTCTGAGGGACTAGATAGTCGATT